TCCAGCGATCACAGTCCTAGATGTTTACCCATATGAGCTGAAAACCCATGTCCACACAAAAACCTGCACATGAATGTTTATAGCCACCTTATGTCATCACTGCCAAAACTTAGCAACCAAGATGTCCTTCAGCAGGTGAGTGGACAAATAAACTGTGGTACATCCAGACCATGGACTGTTATTCTGCACTAAAAAATGAGCTCCCCAGCCATAAAAAGACATGGAGGAAGCTGAGATGCACACTGCTAAGTGAAGAAAGCCAACATGAAAAGGCTATGGACTATATGATTCCAACTATATGACATTCTGGAAAAGGCAAAACTATAGAGACAAAAAAAAGATACATGGTTGCCAGAGGTCAAAGGTCATAGAGGGGGAGTGAGGAGTAGTTGGGGCATAGAGAATATTTGGGGGTTGATATTTGGATCTTTGCTTTGATACTGTTATGGCGAATACAAAACAGTATACATTCGTCAAAACCCATAGACTGAATGACAACACAAAGAGTGATCCCCAATGTAAACTATAGAATTCAGTTAGTTTTTCAATTTGGTTTATTAATTCACATTAATGCAAGATGTTAATAATAAAGGAAGCTGTATAAATATGGAGAGAAGAGGTAAATGGAAACTGTACTTTCTGCTCAATTTTTCTGTAAACCTAAAAAACTTATCCAAGAAAGTAAGTTCTATTAATTAAAAAAATTACGTAAAACTCAACATTCAGTGTCCATAAATTGCCATTAGCAAAGAGGAAAATAAAACTACATACATAAAAAGCACTCTCACAAATAGAGTTTCAAAAATCTCAAATAACATACTAGCAAAATAATTTGGATAGTTTATTGAAAAGAATCATTCAAGAAGCATTTTTACCTGGAATGCATCTTAAAATTTATCCACATAGCACACTGTATAACTTAATTTTATTTATAATAATAATTTCAATTGATGGCAAACAGTATTTGGAAAGAAATATTGACATCCATTCCTGTTTAAGTCTCACAACAGTATTAAGAATAGGAGTACACTTCCACCCAAATTAAAATATTAATATTAAATCAAGAGTCATTATAGTAATGGTTTTTAACAAAGTGTGTTTCTAATTTTAAGAGATTTAATAGATATTTCTTTGACTGTCTTCTCAACTCATGATAATCCCCCTCTCTCTAAAAACAGCCCTTGAGATACAGGGACGAACCTCCAAGCGTTAAGTCTACCATCTGACCTTGACCGTTGTTGACTGATCCAGGGGTGGACTCCTGATCCTTGTGTGTGATCAGATTTCATCTGAGAATTTGAAATTTGGAACTGACAGACAGAGACTGAGCAGTAGTTGAAGTTCTGCTTTATTACTGTCAGTATTTGATAGAAAGGATTCCAGAATTCTATACTCTGTCTTTCCTGAGTCTTGGCTATTGTCACTTCCTTGGATTCTAGTATACTCTCATTTCTGCTTAAATGTGTGAGATTTGTTCTTTGTGGCTTGCAAACAACAACAAAAAACCTCCAGTAACTCAGACACTAATAGATATTTGATGGTGAAGGTGGAGGGGTGTTGATCAGTGGACAATCTGGGTGGGAACTTAAGCAAACGTAGAGAGCTCTCTTTGTTTTGGAACTTCTCACAGTCAACAAAATGTCATATTGTGAGTCTCTAGGAGAAATCTGTGGTATGCAATTTTACAACCTTACTTGACTGCAGAATATTTTCTTTTGGAAGATACTTTAAAAAGACTAGTGTGCTACAGAACATACTTTAGGAAATACTTTCCTAGTGGTATTCCCAATAAACAAGCATCCTCATCCTCATGACTTAATATGGTTCTGGAAAATCTTGGCCAATTCATGTAACAGCTACAACAATCTTTTGGTAGCTGTAATGAGGTCAGAATCCATTCACGGATAGCAGCAGCATCAGCAACAAAAGTAAAAACCTAAGATCCCTCAGATTCCGTTTTAATCCAAGCTGGTGAATTTCTTGAGGGAGGCACTTACTCATCATTGGGCTCCTAGATGAGTATCCGGCTCACAATCAATCAATCAATCAATATTGTGTGCTCCATAAATAAATAAGTAGATGTTTCCTTCTCATTTCCTTGAGATTAAGATAGTTTTTGGTTACGGTTGATTAATTTAAATCATATTATTCTGGGAGATAACAATAAAATTTGAAGAGGCCAGTCATATACCAGGCAGTTTTGATTACAGAATTGCTTATCTTAGAAAATTGTGTTATGAAACAGGAATCATACAAAAAAGAGAATTCATCCAGTCACATTGCCATAGCTGCTTTTCCTTCTGTTGTCACCACCAGCGAAAAGAGGAAAAAATGATTTCTGCTCCAATGACTGAGCCCCTCGGCATCCCAGACTTCTCCCTTTTCTCTCTCCTACACACTCTCTGCTCCATTGAACTGGGTGCATTGTTTTGTCATAGAATTACCTGCTTTTCTAAAGATTCTCATTCATTAACAACATTGTCACAGCTGTTGTAATTATGGGGAACATAAATCTGCACAGCCTGACCATTTTAGATTTCAAGTTTTAGTGGAGCTGGGCTCCTGATTGATACTAAGTTCAAGTTTCCCTTCTCTGGGATTCTGGACTTGGGAGAAAAGAGAAGGGGGGAAGGAGGGAAGGAAAGAGGGAGGAAGAGAGAGAGGGAGAGGGAGAGGGGTGGAGGAAGAGGGAGGGGGAGAAGGAGAAGAAGAGAGTGGGGCAGAGGGAGAGAGAGAGGTGTGTGTCTGGAGAAACAGGCTGTTTTGTTGGAAGACAATAATGATGCACAGAGAAAAACACATTAGTGAGATAGAGTGGGACTTCTGATAGTGTTCAAACATTTACTTTTGATTATTGCTGGGATGCAGACATATTCCTTTCTTTAGTTCTAGGAGACATCTCAGTGTTTTTATAATAAAGCTTCAAATTGGACATCCATCACCTGCAACTAGAGTCTTGGGCAATACACTTAAACTATCACTTGGAGAAAATTACACTTAACTTGCAAGGCTATTCTATTCAGCTGAGGGAGTCTATAAATAGATTAGAAAAACAGCAAGGAGAAATCATAGATATTTTGGATTTTGAAGGGACTTTCAAGAGCCAAAGTCTGGAGAGATAAAGTGATTTGGCCAATTACCAACATCAGCTTGCCAAATAGTCTGGTTCCTAATGCTCTTCACTCTTTATTGCATTGCTCAATTTCTTGTTTCATTTCCTTTCGGTCGGCTAGCTCATTCTTTGGTCCTGTGTCTTTGGCCCGCCGTTTTTCTGCTGATTCTCACATACATTTCACATATTCCCTTTTCTTGGCCTGCATCTGACCATTAGCTTCGAGTTACAATTACTTTCTTGGTGTACCCTGGACTCAGGCGTAACAGTGCTCTAATTGCTCTCTCTTCTTTACTGGGTAAAAGTCAACCTAATGAGCTTCCATAAAAGGAATTTCCAATTTCCAATAGTTGCATTGGTTTGACCTTAGTACTGTGGATCACAGCTCAAGGTAAGACATGAGAGAGAAGCTCTACACAAGAGATGTCATTTAAACATTTATTGGGGTTGTGGCTCTGTTGACAGAATATAAAAACAATTTAGAAATTGAATGAAACCTTACATAGATTCACTGAAGATCAGTCAACCTGGGTTGGTGCTGCAAACTTAAATCAGGCTACAAAATTAGGCAATATGACATTTGAATCCAAGGCCACTCACATTTAAAAAGACATGATACTGGAACCCTCAGAGGTCTAGACTTAGCTTCGCATTGGCCAAGAGGTTCTAATCATGAGAATGCCCTGAATGTTTCTAGTCCATATCCCATATTATGGGCTGAATTGTGACTGTATTTCGAGATAGGGGATTTAAAGAGGTAATTGCGTTAAAATGAAGTCTAATCCATTCTGACTGGTGTCCTCACAAGAACAAGAAATTCTGACACCTGGAGAGACGACAGGGATGCCTGCGCAGAGGGAAGACCACGTGAAGAAACAGCAAGAAGCTGCCACGTGGCCTGTCTCTCGCTTGTGAGCCAAGGAGAGGGTCCTCAGAAGAAACCAGCCTTGCTGAGACCTCGATCTCGGACTTCCAGTACCCAGAACTGTCAGGATATAAATTTCACTGTTTAAGCCAGCCAGTCTGAGGTATTTTGTCATGACAGCTCTAGCAAACAAATACGTCCATAACCCAACTCAGATCTCTGTTCAGTGTTTATTATCATTAAATTCAGTTCGGAAGGTAATGTAAAAATTACTTGTGATGACATAATTAGTTTTTTAGTGTCTTAAATGTTGGGACTAAATATGGGAATAATCTTGTAAATATATTATTTTAAATATTTGAAATACCTATACTTAAAAATATTTAAAATAGTTAAATATTAAGAAGCAGTGCCATATTAGAGGACAGAGTATCTAATAGGTAAGCCTTATCATTCCAATTTAAAATGTATACAAAACAGAAACAGACTCACAGACACAGAAAACAAATTTATGGTTACAAAGGGAAAGGGAAAGGGAAAGGGAGAGAGATAAATTAGGAGTACAGGATTAACAGATACAAACTACATGAAATAGATAAGCAACAGAACTTATTGTATAGCATAGGGAATTATATTCAATATCTTATAATAACCTATTAATGGAAAATATAAAATATATATATAACTGAATCACTTTGCCATACCCCTAAAACAAAACAATATTGCAAATTAATTATACTTTAATAAAAGAAGAACAAATCTAAATTAGACCTAGTTGGGGAGGCAGCTCCTAAAATTATAAGGATTAAGAGAAAATTACATCTTAATAAAAGTTACTTTTATTTAAAAACAAAACAAAATAAAATGTGATATTTGAATAATTAATTTAGACTTTTAATTGAAATCTTAATTTTATGAACTATACTAAAACTTTTATGAGAACATGAATCATTACATTTATACATTTAATTTATTAATTTTATGAGTTATTTAAGTGTTTATGAAAGCTTGTTAGTTGGAAATTTGAAATCACTAGAAAATTGAATGTAAGGAAGTTCATAGATAAAATTTAAAATGTTTGAAGTTATTTAGTTAACTAAACTATAGAAGAACTCATAAAAATTATTGCTAAAATTTCATCAAATCTGTATAGATAGAACAAAATAATTTGTACACATACTTAAAATATAATTAGAGTTTTGAACTTATAAATGTAACAAAGCAAACATTTATTTTATTTCAAAAACAATCTCAGACTTACAGAAAAGTTGCAAGTACAGCACAAAGATTTTTTTTCCTCAGAGATATTTATAAATAATTTGTTGATGATGCACCTTGAGTCCCAAATGCTCTAGTGTAATTTCCTACAATCAAGGACATTTTCTTATATAACCACAACATAATCATCAAAATCAGGACATAAACATTTTACATTATGACCATTTAATCTTTAGAAACCATTCAATTTTCACCAATTGTCCCCCAATTCCCTTTATAGGATATGGATAAAACTCAGAATCCTGTGTTGCCTTGATCATGTCTCTGGTTTCCCTCAGTCCGGGATGATTTCTCGGTCTTCTGCTTTGATGATCTTGACACTTTTGAAGATATTAGGCCAGTTATTTTGTATAATGTCCCTGGATTTGGGTTTGTCTGTATTTTTTCCTTTTGATTAGGTTCAGGGTATGTAACTTTGGCAGGATTATTACAAAAGGGATGCTGAGTTCCTCTGTTGCATCTTATTTGGTGGGGAACAAATCAGTGTACCTCATTACTAATCATATTCTCTTTGATCATTTACTGAAAATGGTGTCTTCCAGGCTTTTCCATTGTTCCCTCTGTAATTAATAAATATTTTGTGGGAGATACTATGTAAATATCCTGTTCCTCATCAAACTTTCCATTTATTCATTTATGTAGAAACCTCATGGTTTCCTATTTTGTGCCTGTTGTCATCATTGCTTATTTTGATGCCCGAACTGTCCCAGGTTTGGCCAGTGGGAACCTTTTCAAGGTAGATTCTGTGTCCTTTTGATAAGTCCCCTTCATTTTTCCAGAACTTCTTTTCTTTCTGGCACAGATATTCCAGACACTTGTACTTTCCCTATCTCAGCCTCAGAATCAAGCCATTTTTCCAAGAATCCCTTCTTGCCTTTGGCAAAAAAAAAAAAAAATGGCATTGAGAAATTAAGATCTGGCTGCTAGGTGTGCTCACTGATATTGAGTGTTGCTGCCCCAAGTCCCTCTCAGTGGACAGAGCACTGGAATATGTGCACATACATACATTAACATATAGTCTATATCTGTTGTATGTATTGAAAATGATGAGTTCACACCAAGACATCCAATTCTAATTTACCACCACTCTACTCACCCAGACTGGGGTCTGACACCTTGTGTCAGACCATCACCTCTTCCATGAATACCCTCTTCTCACCCTTTTGGAACTGGGGACACCCTGCTCTGGCTCTCCCATCCCCATCCCCACACTGAGCAGACTTCCACCTTGCTTGGCCCCACCTAATTGCTTAGAACTGGATTGTTTAGAAAGGGAAGAGACGACAATGGGAAGGAAAAGAGGAAGACTAAATATTAATTTTAAATAACAAATGGCCTCTGATCATCTTTTCTGCACAAAAGCCACCTGTAGGGGCACATTAGGAAACCATGTTCTTCACTCTTGTGAAGTCCTCATTTCTCTAAAATCTGATTTTCTTTAGATTCCATTTTCTTGGCTTCATGGGGTTCATATTGTCCAGGCATATAAACATAGCAAACACTTTAATGATCTTTGTACATCATCTCATGGATATTTCATGCTATATTTACTTACGTAGTGCTATTGAAAACCTTGTATTTATATTTCCTTATGCTTGTTTTCCAATTTGAGGTCTCTCATCAATGTTCAACGATTTTAGGAGATCGCACTGCCACACAGCATAAGGTCTGGCTCACTATATTTGGCAATAGTAGGACGTGGACCATTTTTGGAATATTTGGAAACATCTGGAAAACCTGAACTACAAAATAAGTTTCTATATCTCTGAAGTAGCAACAAGATTTTTTCCCATCAACTGTTGCAATCAGCTTCAGTGTTTAGTGGAAAAATTTTTAGAAAAACCTCTTATCAAATTAAGAAGCTATTTATACCATAAAAAGATCATCAAGATTATGATTTTCTTTCTAATTTCTTTATCAACTTTTATTATTCTAATTTGCCTTAGTCAGGACTTATTTGTTATCCTGATTTGCTTCTGGTTACAGGATTCATTTAAACTTAGCAAACCATTAGGGAACCATCTAACGTGGTTGGTACTTAAGTCTTTCTTCTGGAAACATGGTCAAAAATGACAGCTTGTATGTAGAGCTCTGTCTGGATAGGGGTTCTAGTAGAGTTGTCACCCGGTTGTGCCTAAAATACATAAATCATATTGTTAATCAGTCCAGGCCATGAAAATAACTAGCATTATATGAATTGTCTTCTTGCTTTAGTGTTGTAGCAAACAGAACTAAGAATGCTGTGGCCATGCAGACATGTCCCCCCCAACCCATATTCTTTTGGAGCAGAGATCATTCTAATCAGGAGCTTTGAGGCCCCAGGTTGTGACATTACTGAAAAATCTAGGATCAAAGCACTGTCCTAGGTTCATGCTTGTCTAGACTCTGCTGAACCCCATGGGTCACTGACTTTGCAGAATTCCCAGGGAAGGGCTTTGCAAACACATGTTATTGCTGGGTAATAAGTCAAAAGGAATCCTATCTAGATTTCAAGTTTGTCAAATAGAAATATCTCAAGTTTGAGATTGGTTCAGACTAGTGGAACTAACTACCTGCCCAAGGTGAGTTTCATGAAAAGCTTCTTATCAGTTTGAAAACTATTTGATCTGCTTTTTTCCCCTTTCACATTATACTCTGAAAAAAGATTCAATCCTTTTACTTATATTCAGGATAGTCTGTCATACTAATAGGCTCCTAGGGAGCTCCTATGGGAGCAAGTATTCCCTAATATTGTATCGATAAGAGAGAAGACAGATACTAAAAGGGTTAGATAATATCTGTAATTGGAAAACATTAGTCATTGGGCATTTTCCATATTTGATGACAAAAGAAACATGTTACTTGCTCTCTCATCTTCCCTTATAGGAAGTGATGACAAGAAATTTAGATCTGGGACTAGAGACAAGCTTTGATATTGCCTTTTCTCCATAGTAGTCAATTTCTTGTGCCAGAGAGAAAGAATACGTTGGACTCATCTTTCCTTAAACAGAGTTAGTAAAATTGTAAAGATCTTGAAATGAGTAAAACAAACAGAGTAGGGGGTCTTGAGTGGCTCACCCATCCACATTTTTTTCTGTTCTGGTGCTATTTTACAAATCTTTAAATTGGAGAAAACTAATAATGCAAAATATTCTTGTCTACAAAGATGCAAGTGAATTGTGCCCAGTGGCATGGAGCTGATAATTGCCCTGTATTGGGACCTGCTTTGCATCTATTTGCAAATTAATTTCAATTTTTCTTTTTCCCTATGTATGTTCTGCTCTTTGAATTCTCCTTTGAACTGCTCTGTAATATCTTACTAGTTCATGCTATAATTAATGGATTAAATAAAATCTTTGGCTCATTCATTTTATACAAGAGTTACAATTACATCCTTTTAAGAAAAACTAACTTGTAAACATTTTAGAGGTTCCACTTCCATGCCCTGTGGATTCACCTGACAGTTGAGTAGACTGTGATCCCAGTTTGTCCTCCCTCCTGGGCGACTTGAACTCTTTCTTTTCTTGGTTCCCAGAGGTAAATCTCCAGTAGCAAAATAACTTTAACTCTGCTGATTCTCTGTTTTTTTTTACATATTTTCCTGTTAACTATTTTTGCATTTTGTTTTTGTAACTTTTACAATGGATAAATTATTCCCCATCGGTGACAGCAATGATTTGGAATTTGATTTTGCGGGTTAACCTTTGTGATCTCAGTAAATAGATTAATAGATTACCAAGATGTATTCTTTCTTAAGTGAGAGATAACAGAGAATCTGACTTGTTAGTTTTTTTCCCTTTATTTGTCTGCTTGTTTATTTTGAAGAAACTAAGAATCTCATGCCCATTAGGAAAAAGGACAACTTTTTGATATATGGACTGATAACTTTTTTGTGTTTACTTCTGGTCTGCAGCTAATGTTTAGATCTGAAGCTGTAAGCTCCTTATGTGTCTCTGTGTATATATGCTTAGAATTCAGACAGGCCTTTACGTGTTTAAGTATGAGCATATAATATTTTCCTATCTTTGGAGGGAACTACTTATACATTAGATTTAAATGTCTACTAAATTGAAACTCTGTTCTGATTGGCCTATACAGTTCTTATATAAATGAGTTCTTATGCAAGTCAAATATTTATAAAATTCCAGGAAAATGTGGAAATTGAAGTTTTGATATGTTAAACATGATATATTTAAAAAGTTAGTCTCACAGAAATGTTTTAAAAATGTAATGTCATATAATTGAAATAAATATTTGGTAAATCAGACTAGTGTAATACTTTTGGTTGAATACAAACAGCTTGTCCTCTGATTTATCAGTGTTAGGTATAACATAAGCATACATTTTATTCTACTGTACTTGGGTGTACTTGTCTTAAACTTATTGAGATATACTGATCAAATGAGCTAACATTACTCCTACACAATATTCAAGATAATGAGAAATGTAAACTTGTATTCAACAAAATTAAATCATTATTCTGATCACTTCATTTCAACAGTAATTTTATTATTTAGTATTTCAGCTTGAATATAATTCCCCAGATCTTTAGGTAACATAAAAACTTTGATGACCATTAGGTTGAATGACATAATGAATACTTATTTGATATCTAGATAGTTTCTAACTAAGATAGAATACTGAAAATTTGGTGCCTAATTATTAGGCTTAATTTTAAGTTTATATACTTTTACTTATATCCTGCGGAAAGTTTGTATCTTGGGTCATGTTAATGAATCTGTTCATTTTGTCTCTTTAAAAAGCTGTATGTGTAGCTGTAGAAAGCTGCAGCATAAACTTTTGTCTCTTAAACTGCTTTTGGAAGAGAGATAGTTCTTAGTTATCTACCTCTAGTTTTTGCTATGAAACAGAAGTTACTTTGATTAAAAAATCACAATTAATGACTAGGTGAGACCACATATAAGCAACAGGGACAGACTAATACCACTAATTGTTTTTGTGTTTCAAAGAGAAAGCAGTTTATCACATAGTGGAGGTTTTATAACAGTATTTGGTAGTAATTAAATATACATTTATATATATTTATAATCTACATATAATTTTATATGTTTATAATTTATATAATTACTATTGTATGCTGCATAATTATATATACTATATACTATAAATAACTATGTATTATATATGTGTGTATATATATTTATAAAAGTGCTTTTCAGGCTTCTGTTTTTCTTTTTTTGTTCTATCTCAGAATCCCTGTTAAATCTTGGGTCTTACGGAGGACTCCAAAGAACTTTTATGTGAATTATAATTATCAATATTTACCATATTGGAAGTGGAAATTGAGAAATTTAAAATATTAATTCATTTAACCATAGCAATGATTAATACACATTGAAAGGTTAACAGAAATAACATCTTAGTATGAATATAAAAATTATTTTGAGTTCATGGATCCCCTGAGAATTGCTCTGATACAATAAAAAAGCAAAATGAAGGACAAAATTTGGAAGTAAATTTTACTTGCCTTGGTTTATAGTACCTGAGTCTGAAAAGATGTGATGAAATCTGCTAAAATTTTAGTAACATTTGCCTTATCTTGAAAGGCTTGCTTTCTTGGCTTACTGGTTAAGTCCCTTGCTTCCCATATGAAAGGGATTTCCTTTTTTTTCTTTTTTTAAACCTTCTGTGTAATCTGTTTAGGTGCCAAATATTCTGTGTCTTACGAGAATAATTTTCTGTCCTTTGTGTTGAATTTATTACATCCTTGATTGTTTAAGAAAGAGAATAAATAAATGAAAGAGAGCAAAGAACAAAATTCCTCACTTATAAAGGGCTAAGATTTTTTACTATCATGTTACTGTAAGGTTTATTTTAAACATTTTAAATTGTTTTAAATGTTCCTTTAATTAACTAGTTAACTCAGCATTATTT